TTCAGTGTATTTTCGGTACATCTATACTATGTCTAGTTTCTATATATCACTGCTTCAATTACAGATTTGTTAAGTGTTGAGTTTTTCAAGAAGACGAAAACGAAGCTAATATTTTTAAACTTTTTTCCACAATTAATAAAGATCATGGCGTGCTGTTAAACGTTGAAGATGAAATCGACCACTATTTTGGCCTCGTAGGAATCATATTTGTCTCACAAGGCCGCGAATGTGTTAACAATAACTAATAGTATATAGACGCATGCAACTGCGCTTTATACGGAAGACCCGAGAACAATCAACTAGACCGTATTTGAAAAACTTGTAAAGTAATATAGCACCTTGACTAAAAACGAGAAAACTGCCAGTCTTCCTCTTATTGCAGGCGCTCCAAGCACGGTAACATTACAACAGTCTTTAAGGCCCTTTAAGAAACGCCTGAAATATTATGATTACCATTAAAAAAAGATTAGATCTTCTGACAATGCCAATCAAAACAGAATATATATATAAAGATAAAAAATCAAGCTCTCAGCGTTTATCACCCCTGAGGGATGCACCATGCATTCGACTTCATCAAGAATCGTTAAAGGTAACTGAACGCATATATGGTCTATGCACTGACTCGGAATGGCCTACCGATGTGTCGAGTAAGAGCTGTTATACTCTCAGACATGACTGATAGCTATTTGCTCATCCCAGAGTGATAGAAGGCTAGCTAAGCACGGACCATGGGATCGAACCCATGTGCATTGCAGGGCACCTCTAGCCACTATGCTGCACGTGCTCCTATGTTCATAGCTAATGTGAATATACAGATATATTAATACATAACCAGCATACACACTACATATATATACATGCATTTATGCGCGTATAGCGCAATGGTTAGAGGTGCCCTGCAATACACATGAGTTCGATTACGCGCAACGGGCTTATCAAGCCCTCCATCAATGCAGGATCGCAAAATTAATAACATGCTTGTCTTGGAGGATAGCAGCACTGGTTCGATATATCTTTACGCCACCGCGAGCCACTGAATTGGCCAGATATGGATTCGGTTACCTTAACTGATGCTTGGTGAAGTCAAGTGCACTGCGCACCTTTCAGGGATTGATTAACGCCGACAGCTTCACCATTCTTATGCTTTATACGCTTATATCACACATGTATATATATATATATATATACATGTATATGTACTCGCGTGTGTGTTATACATATTAACAGAGTATATACATATATGTATATATATATTTATATTTACTGAATTCTTACCTGACTGTAGTACATGTAATGTTTGATTCCCAACTACCACCCACTCGGGAACTTCCAATGTGAAGGAAAAGAAAGGCAATAGAAATTCGTATTAAGAGTGAAGATTCACAAATTGTACCGAAGACGATTACTCAGTGCTCCACAAATTTCAAGCATTTGGCAACTCGAAAGACCGACTTTCTATAAACCTCGGCATAGATAGTTGATATATTTATTTATATGATCTTATAAACTGATCTTCTTAATTTATTTATGTGACCTTATAAACTGATCTTCTTAAGCTGACGCGAGGTTGGTACAGATCTTCGTTGTCGTTGTCGTTGTTTTTGATGTTATTGAACGATGGCTGACGTTTCGGTGACTTCGCCTTCCTCAGAGTCTGGACGTACTTTATGTTAGAATACTTTTTATTATTCGGTGGAAAAGAAGGTTAAAGTATTAATGAAGATCAAACTTTCAAATAGACGCCATATTGAACAGAAAGGCCACTCACCGTGATGTTACGTGCGGGGCTGGCCAACACGTAGTTCACGCGAGCAAGACACGCCCCGGGGTCAAAATATCCTTTTCAAATAGGGCGCCACCTCACGCGTGAGTGAGGCATTCGTCCTTCCGGTTTATCTTTGGATTTTTGAAATTTATCCAAGACGCCTCAAGAGTTTTGCGCGTTGATGTTTTTGATACCTGCGCTAGGATCCGCACATTCACTTCAAAATCATCGCCGTTGTGCATTTGTGCCCTATGCGTACCTAGAGGGGTGTTTAACGGATTTTAACTTTCCCATCTAGATGTTCTTTTATGCGAACACAAAGTGGTCTAACCGTTTCTCCAATATATTCCTCGCCGCATGCGTTGCACGAGATCAAGTATATTATACNTCAAACTTTCAAATAGACGCCATATTGAACAGAAAGGCCACTCACCGTGATGTTACGTGCGGGGCTGGCCAACACGTAGTTCACGCGAGCAAGACACGCCCCGGGGTCAAAATATCCTTTTCAAATAGGGCGCCACCTCACGCGTGAGTGAGGCATTCGTCCTTCCGGTTTATCTTTGGATTTTTGAAATTTATCCAAGACGCCTCAAGAGTTTTGCGCGTTGATGTTTTTGATACCTGCGCTAGGATCCGCACATTCACTTCAAAATCATCGCCGT